GACTATTTTTGTGTGTGTGTGTGTGTGTGTGTGTGTGTGTGTGTGTGTGTGTGTGTGTGTGTGCACATGTAATATATTCAGAAGTAAAATTTTGATTCACAACTTCAAGAAGAACATATAAAATAAAGAATACAAATATAAATATTTTTAATTTTTATTCTATAGAAGTAGTATGTTTGCACACACCAAAAATACAACATACTAATTCTTTAGATTTATTATTTTAATGAGTATGGGTGTTTAGCTGAATGGATGTATGTGCAACTACATGTATACAGTGCCTACCAAGGCCAGAAGAGGGAGTCAATGTCCCCTAAAGCTGGAATTACTCATGTTTGTGAGTCACCATGTGTTGTGTCCTCTGCAAGAGCAACAATAGCTCTTAACCAAAATGTAATATTCCAAATAACAAAGTAGATTTATAAAACAGAATTAAGAGAACATTGAAAAACAATTTTATAAAATTTGTTTTACAATGTTTAATTGTAGTTTAGGTGACCTAATTCTCCTTAAGTCACCAAATGTTTCTTTAAGCTATCGATTAAAAAAAAAAAAGTTAAACCACCAGGCAGTGGTGGCGCATGCCTTTAATTCCAGCACTCGGGAGGCAGAGGCAGGAAAAAAGTTAAACCACCAGGCAGTGGTGGCACATGCCTTTAATTCCAGCACTCGGGAGGCAGAGGCAGGGGGATCTTTGTGAGGTTGAAACCAGCCCGGTCTACAAAGAGCTAGGTCCAGGACAGCCTCCAAAGCCACAGAAAAACCCTGTCTCAAAATCCCCTCCCCCCAAAAAGTTAATGCATGAGCAGCCACCAATTTGAATTTGTCACTTTGTTATGTAAAATAAGAGCCAAAAATAGAAACTGTATACCTTGGCAAGGAATCTTGGGATGAGCTGAAAGAAACCTGAGAACCCAACGCAATTTCATGCAAATATTATTTAGAGGGTGTACATATTCCTGAGAAATTATCTACTCCTTTCACTTTGTTCTCAAACGGTTTTAGTGTCACTCCAAAAGGTTAAGGACTACTGAGGGTCTCATTCAGCACATTTCATAGTCTCCTGTAGTGCTGGAGAAATATCTCTACTGATGGCATTCCAAATAATGAGTTTGACTGCTTTCTGTTTTACTGGTCTCTGCGACATTGAAGGAAGTACAGGAGTGTGTTTCCGTCGCTTCCAAAACAGTTCTTCTACAGTGGCCTATTTGAATTCTTCAAACAGCCTTGTGAGACTTATGCACATTTATTTTGATTCACTGTTGGGTCCTCTGGATTATTTACTATTAGTTCTGTGTTGCATTTTCATCTCAGAAAACTGGCAGAACTTCTCTGGCAGTATTCAATTCAATTCTGCTGCATTTTGCCCAGCTAGCATTTCTCTCATTTGTATTTTACTTATACTGTGGTAATATCACTATTGACATCCCACATTTTATTCTTATTCTTCCTTTAGGTGTGTATGCAACATTGACTGTTCTCAAACCAACTTCAACCCCCTCTGCGCTTCCGACGGGAAATCTTATGATAATGCGTGTCAAATCAAAGAAGCATCATGTCAGAAACAGGAGAAAATTGAAGTCATGTCTCTGGGTCGATGTCAAGGTAATGTTCATAGCAAAATTTCATCTCAAAGAATGTTTTTAGTCTCTGTGCAGAAATGAAAAGTGAAGATAGCTCCTTATTAGGCAGCTATCTCATTTCCGAAAGACAGTTCTGATTCACAATGGATGGAGTAGTCAGCTGTAGAATTTGTGTTGATTATAGGTGTTTGAGAGCCCATCAGCAACAGTGCATGTCTTTTTCAATATAATGGGACTGTATTGTCACAGTGCCATGCACACAGGAGCCAGGATTCAGAAGATAGCAGTTATTCTCCTAATTCTCCTAGCAAAGGCTAAAGAGAAAGTCTGGGCAAGAATTTAAGAATTGATTAGAAATGTTGGGATTAAAAGAGAATCAGTCTTTTTATGTACCTATTCAATAGAAATATATTAAGTACCTCCTTAAAAGCTGAACATAGTGGAATATTCTGGTTTGTTGTTTGGATGAAATGGCTTAGGGGGCTTGTACTTGTTTTTCTTTTGTTGAATGTATCTCAGTTACATTCTGGACCTTCTTGTCCTAACCCACAGAAAGCCGACACCATTCTGTTATTCACACAAACAAACACATGTGCATTAGGAAGTCACCTCTCTCTGAGTGCTTGAAACCGTAATTGAGGGTTTTGTTGTCATTGTTGTTGAAGAAAACAGCAAGCCTTACCTGCAATAAGGAAATGAAAATAACTGTTAGAGGAGTAAATTTGATAGCTATGTAGGAAATAGTTAACTGGTTTTTATTGTTAATTTTTAAACAGACAACACAACTACAACCACTAAATCTGAAGATGGGCATTATGCAAGAACAGATTATGCAGGTATGCAAAATTTTCTAGTAGTAAAATGAGAGCCTTGTATGAGCGTCTTGAGCACCACTGTTTACCATTTGTCTTAACCTGAACATTCCCTGATCTTTCTTAGTTCAAGCTCTTAATGGGAAAGAGGAAATTTTTGCTGAAGCAAATGAGACACACTTTATTTTTTTCCATAGTTAAAGCAATTGTCAAAGATGTCAGTAAGATATAATTAACTTGTTTTGACAGTGCAAATGGTACAAATGACAAAACATTTATCAAATTAATGGGCATCAATGGAAATTAATGCAAGGTTTGGCAGTATATTGTAATAAATGCAAATATTCTTGTTTGAATTTTCATAAAAGTCAACAGTTGAAAGCTTGCTGGTCTCTGAGAAGATAGAAATAAATGAGAGCTACAAGTGCTAACACAAGCCACTTCTGCCTCCATGCAGAGTTAAAATAGATGCATAATTTATTTTTTAAAGTATCTAGCATGTTTCACTTAGATTCTAGAATGCAGTTTCTCAGACATACAAAGTTATAATCAATTTTATGTGAAAACATAAATCTTATTTAGTAACTACAGAATTTTCTTTGAGTAATAAAAAAAAATGCTACCTAATTTAGTTCCCCTACAGTGAGAAATGATTGATGGGAATGCAATTGGCATTTTAGCAGATGCCTATAATTTATGGGAATTTAAGGTAAAACTATGAAAATAAAATTATTAAGCTTTATAAAAGCATTCAAGGAATAATTATTTGTTTATTCTTGCTGTTTTGGGACAGAGTCTCTCTATGTGGCTCTGGCTGTTCTGGAAATCACAGAGATCTGCCTGCTTCTGCCCCCTTAGTGCTTAGTGCCCTTAAAGGCCTGCATCACCATACTCAGTTTCAAGGGATTTTTAAGAAGAACTTTTCATTCAGATACTAAACATTTGTACCAAATTTTATAACTAATATTCAAACCAAAATAATTGCGGAGTTAAAGGCCTGCACCACCATACTCAGTTTCAAGGGATTTTTAAGAAGAACTTTTCATTTAGATAATAAACATTTGTACCAAATTTTATAACTAATATTCAAACCAAAATAATTGCTTCTTCTCCTCCAAAATATGTACTATCATTCATTCTTCTTATTTCATTATTCCATTTCACTTAATGATAATTGTCATTATACATAAACAAATCCCAAATAATATTTTAACAACTTGCACATATCAGAGTGTGGACATAGTATTTTAACTTTTGCATATTTTACCTTAATGTTTTCACCATCTAGAGAAGACTACATATTCTAAAAGCCTTAAACTATGTGTTATACAATAGATTAATGTTAGCTCTACTATATATGTGTATATCATAACCATTCCCAAAACACCCACTAGAAAAATTAATGAATACTCCTTGAGAAGAATTGACTAGTATTCAGTATGTTTAGGGAGTGTTACGATAAACAATTTACCTTCTCCAGGCACTCTTCTCAGCTCTAGTTTCTGTTATACAACCTTTATAAATATACATGTTTTACGTAAAATAATCTCTTAGAGAATGGGTTCTGGGATTAGTTCCAACCCTTTACAAATCTTTATCAAACTCTGAGGATAATATAGTCTCTTACATAAAGTGGAATGATGTTTACATGTTACCTATGTGCATCTTTTCTATGTCTTAATCTCTAGATAATTTATAATACTTAATACAATGTAAACTCTATGAAAATAGTTGTGGTATTGTATTGTTTAAGGAATAATGATGATGAAACTACTTTATATATATTTGGGGTCCACAATTAGTTTAGTTGATGATTGCAGAGCTCATGGATATAGAGAACCATTTGATTTTAATTGTTCTTATTTTAATTTATTTATTTAATTTGAAACAATCTTATTTTACATATCAATCCCAGTTTCACCTCCCTCCCATCCTCCCATGCCCCTCTCTGACCCCCCAATCCCACCACCCAGCCACTCCCCAGGGAGGGTGAACCCTTCCATGGGGATCACCATAATCTGTCACATCATTTGGGGGAGGGTTTAGGCCCTCCTCTGTGTATCTGGGCTGAGAGAGTATTCCTCCATGGGGAATGGGCTCCCAAAATCCATTTGTGCACTAGAGATAAATACTGGGTTCACTGTCAGAGGTCCGGACCATAGACTTCCCGGGCCTCTTAACTGGCACCCACATTCAGAGGTCTTGGTTTTGTCCAATGGTGGTTCCCCAGCTTTATGACTGGGGTCCATGTTCTCTCCCTTCATCAGGTCAGCTGTTTCTGTGGATTTGTCCAGCACAATCTTGACCCCTTTGCTCATGATTAACTCAAAAATATCAGTGGCCATACTATATATAGATGATAAATGGCCTGAGAAAGAAATCAGAGAAACATCACCATTTACAATAGCCACAAACATCCCTTTGCTCATGATTAACTCAAAAATATCAGTGACCATACTATATATAGATGATAAATAGCCTGAGAAAGAAATCAGAGAAACATCACCATTTACAATAGCCACAAAC